AATAGACCAAACCCGGATATAAGAGACTTCTTCTCCGGTCCCGACAACTCTCTTATATCCGGGTTACACTGTGTATATATATATATATATATATATATATGCGGGCAGCGTACACATGGACAGTGTATACTATATACTCATGCAGAGCAGCGAACATATGAACACATTGACATACAGGCAGCGTATACACATTTACAGTCAGCGTACATACACATACAGCGAGACACACACTAACGAACATGTGCAGAAATAGAGGCAGCGTATACACACAAACATATACACTAACGCTGCATCGACATACATACAGGCAGCATTCACACACACACATATATAGACACAGTGTTAAACTCACACCCACACAGATACAAAAAGCATACACAAACACATATAGCCAGGTCGTACACATATAGAGCCAATCTACATACACGTACGAAATTAGTACATATATAGCCAATGCATACACGCACATGCAGGCAGTACACGCCCACATATATAGGCAGGAACAGTAAAACACGTATATATAATATATATATATATATATATATATATATATATATATATATATATATATATATATATATATATATATATATATATGACAGACGTATAGATATTTACAAAATTACCTAAGGGGATGGGGTGAAAAGTCCCCAAAGAGGATTGAAGCCGTTACACTCGTTAGACTGACACATCATCTAACTTTTTGTATTACACATTCAACTTACGCAGTGGGAGTTAGTAGGCTCGTAAGCATACTATTACAACTACAGTGAGTTCAATCCTCATCGGGGACCCCTCGGCACTTGGCCGTCTCTATTACTAAGCCAAGTTTATTCCACTAAGCCAGCTATATTTACTAATACAAATAGAAAACCGGCTTATCTTGATGTGTGAGAGATAAACTGAATATAGACCCAAACTGACAGAAATATAGATATACACCTACATGGTCTTCTTAGTTGGAAAACGATCGACATACATTCTAAGACATGAAAGTATATTTTAAATAGAAACTACCTATACTGATGTCCGCAATACATCATATACATATATATATATATATATATATATATATATATATATATATAATAGAGCACAGGGAATACGGATGGTAATTAGTGCTTGATATATATATATATATATATATATATATATATATATATATATATATATATATATATATATATATATGTGTGTGTGTGTGCACATATATATATATAGAGAGAGAGAGATAGAGAGGGAGAGGCAGAAATCCTTGTTTATGGATGTTTCATTAAAACGACAGACAAGGCACTACGGTTAAAAAAAAAATTAAATTAAATAAAAAGCTTAACTGTAGTAACTTGTCTGTCGTTTCTAATGAAATGTATATATATATATATATATATATATATATATATATATATATATATATATATATGTATGTATATAAATATGTATGCATATATATCTCTATATATATATATGTATATATATGTATGTATATAAATATGTATGCATATATATCTATATATATATATGTATATATGTATGTATGTATATATATATATGCATATATATCTATATATATATGTATATAGATATGTATGTATGTATGTAATATATATATGTATGTGTGTATATATATATATATATGTATGCATATGTATGTGTATATCTCTGTGTATGCGTGTGTAAGTATATAAATTTACTACTACTACATATATGTGTGTGTGCGTGTATGCTTTCATGTGTGTGTGCGTGTATGTGTGTGTGTGCGTGTATGTGTGTGTTTGTGTGTATGTCTGTGTGTGTGTGGTTAATAATCCTCAGACCAAACCAAGAAGCCCTAGAAAAAATTCGGATAGATTTCTGGAAATGGGTCGTATGAGAAGTTTTCACCATCCTCTTTATTTATATATATATATATATATATATATATATATATATATATATATATATGAGAGTGTGAGTGTGTGTGTGTGTGTGTGTGTGTGTGCGTCTGTGTACGTTCAAGTATGAAGCTGCGTCAGTAAGTTTGTGGTCTGTTGAAGAAAAAGCCTATGTTCTACACATGTTTACTTTTCAACATAATCTCGTTCCCTGTCAATGCACTTAATACAGTGGAGAATATGAATCGGCTTGAATGAAAATTAATCAGTAAAAAATTTCCGATAAAAATCTAAATAATAACGACGTGCCAGGCTACAGAGATATTGATCCACGTCTTACACATGCATAATATTACATCTGTTTTTCTTTTAAATATATATATATATATATATATGTGTGTGTGTATGTGTGTGTGTGTGTGTGTGTATTCAGTTGTATGGATAAGTACCGCTCATATATAATATATATAGAAATTGTATTATACACACACACACACACACACACATATGCATATATGCGTGTATCTGTGTTTACTGTTTGATATACACATATACATATTTCAGATATACACGTATACAAATATACACATTCCAGTTATAAATATCAACATAGTAGTAGCGAAATGAAC